AGATAGATAAATAGATAGATACATACATATGAACAGTGATCGATGAATATGAAAAGAATTCGATAGATATGAAAAGAATTACATAGTGAGGAAGGAATAGACTGACATAGATAGATAGATAGATAGATAGATAGATAGATAGATAGATAGATAGATAGATTGTCTAGTGCCGAGAACACCTGTGGTATTAATAGAAAATAACAATGGCCTATGGACATTTATAAATAGAGAAAGCAAATACTGTATTTATCGAGCTTGTACGGTAACAAATATAAGGGCATGTGCCTGGCGTGCACATTTGCAGGAATTCACAAACGAACACAGACAAGATAAACGAACGGGAACATCTTTTCTATTGAAAAGGATACGAGGAGCAACCAACGCCGACTGATACGACCATTCATTGCGCGTGTATGTCTTCATTGTTGCAACTCTGCCTCAGCGACAACAAGTATCCTATTGATATTACCAGCTGACATGAAAATAACTTCACAATTCGTTTCGTCGATTTTTGTCTTCTTTTGTCATCGTTCTTAGATCAATAGACTTATTAATTGGGGGGGTTGTTTTTTTACGGGTTTCCAACCTTTTACCGGCTATTTAAATCCAGAAAAAAATATTTTCAGATCTGTAAGAATTTTTTGGAAGATGATTCAGGATTTCACTAAGCATTTACTCTGTCTCGCCCCTAAGACGACTTGTGACACCGAGTCAGTTTTTGAAGTGGGGTCCCCGAGCGCGTACACCCGGACCAGGAACAAAAATTGCCCTCAGCCCCCGTAACCATCGGTTGTGCTGGCCACAGTGCGAATACTGATCCCTCTCTCTTGTACGATGAGAGGGCGCTACCTCGTCCAGCTGTTCCCCAGGGCTGGGCATCTCTCAGTCTAATTTTCCTCAGTTGCCATTCTGTCCTTTGACGGTGTCGCCCCTGAGTGCACTCTGTCCAAAGACAGAGACGCAACCGAGAGAACATTCAGGATTTCACTAATAAAGCTGTTATACCCCGAGAAACGCGGTAGGCTCGCCCGCAAAGTGTATAAACGTGAGAATCGAACAGATAGTCTGCTTGTTGACCTTTCTGCGTCCGTGCAGAGAGGAACCCAGACGAGGCTATGCCGTCTCGTCTCGGGAGCTAGACATCTACCCGACCCCGTGTATACAGGGTCTGCGGGCAATTTTTGCCCGAATCTACGGTTTCGGTATAGCCCCACGTAAAATAACTGGCTTTTGCCACATCCCGCCTTGTGGGCAGGTCTTGTGGAAATACCGAGACAGCAAAACCCCTGTGTTTGCTAATACTCTGCTTGTTGACCTCTCTGCCTCCGAGTAGAGAGGAAAGCAGACGAGGCTATGCCGAATGGCATGGTCTTGTCTGGACACGTAGACAGCTACGTATACGGGGTCTACGGGTAATTTTTGCCACTACCTACGGGCTCGGAATCGGACCACGTAAAATAACTGGCCTTGTGCCACGTCCCGCTTTGTTGGGGGGGGGTCATGGGTAAATACCAAAGCAGCAAAAGCCGAACTTAGCTGTCGTCTGAGAAAATACTGTAGTAATCTGTTGGCTGGGCTTACTTTAAGAGTGACTGAACTCAACGAAGTAATAGACACATTACAAGTCCTACTATTTAACCCATACTTGGGGAGCGGCGAGAATAGGTGGATTCATACTTTTCTTCAAGGGCAGTTTGCGCGTAAGTGAATATAACGAACCAGTCTGGACCTAGAACCCGACTCTCGATTTCCGATTCTGAGCTGTTATCCATTACACCACCCGCACATCCAAGCTTATAGCACATTGTTCGTTGAAAGCTTCGTTTGTTTGTTTCGTTTAAGACATTATTTACTAAACTTAGCTTTGTTTCAGCATCGCGTTCACGAATCCCGTAATCCATTAGAGTCTAAGTGGCACCACACGTATTACAATCTAGTTTAAATTCACAGTTTCTTTCTCCTTGACTAGTCGCCAGCCAAGGCTATATGCACTGATATTTACTCATAGCTAGGAGTTGAAGATATGGATTCATATACTACAGAATGAAGTTACATTATTTACTATTGTCCTCATCTTTGTCGCCATATTTATTACAACGTTTCGGCCGTTGTACGCTCCGGCCTTCTTCAGGTGGTTGGAATGTCGAACTGAACACTTTATTTCGCTCACTGGGGTAGACTGTTCCATGTGCCATGTTTTAATGGATGTCAGTTATCAGTTATCTCCTGTTAATTTCCCTCTGAAAGTTCTCCACTGCCTTAACCAGGTATTGAACTCACACTCTTTTGGGTCCTGTTACTGGATTTAACTAACGCCTTTATCCACTGTGCATAGTCCGAATAATGTAAATAATGTACATAATACCTCATCTCAGAAATATAGACAGAAAAAAAAGTTTCTTAAAAATAAACATATTAAAATGAGATTTTTTTTTTTATTTTTTACTTGAAAAATTACTTAAAAGATAGAATTTCAGTAACTACAGTATATTTGCTTTCATTTTGACAAAATAAATAATCACTTAACTATAATAAAACATTTTACAACTATGCATAAACCAGGCTGTATAGGGTGTCTTTGCAAAATTGGAGGATATTGATCTTCTTTTTTCATGGTTCCCTTGATCTGAAATCAAATTTCCAACACGTTTTGGTAAACTCAAAAAGTTTACTGAGGGGTTAATGGTTAAAAACAAAATAGAAAGTTTCTCATATAGAATATTCATAATTCAGTAAAATGCATTGAGAACAAACGAGCCCAAACTTGAATTTTGCTAGTAATAGAAACCTGAAGAAAGCAAGTATTTAAATATCTCTTCACGAAATGCAAATTCCGGGGCCAGAATGCTCAGCAATTGGTCGGAGTGACTCGTAGGAGTGCTTTTCTGACAGTGAATCATTACCTTTGTCAGGGATTTGAATATATGCCCAAAACAGCGCAAATTCAACCGAGGGTTTCAAGAGTTTTGAAGCGCCGATATACTTCCCACACCCAGGCTTGCGATGAATACCAAATGTAAATGACCCTTTTCGTTTATACCGTTTTATGTAGTAGGGTGGGGATGCCGAGACGACACAGAATGCAACAGTTTTGACGGAGTTTAAATGGTTGGTAAGGAATGGGTATTAAGCGAGATAGCAAAAAGACAAAATGCTACAAAGGACAGGAAATTGGGGAGAGCCATGATTGCCAACGTCCTGGATAGACATGACACATAGAAGAACGAGCTTTTATAAATGGTTCAGAGAACAGTAATTAGGAGAGAGATCAAAAGAAAAAAACCTTACTAAAAGTTAATAAGGACAGGAAATTGTGGAGAGCCGACGCCCTGAAAGGACAGAGCACATAAAAGAAGGAGGAGGAGGAAGAGGAAGAGGAACGAACTTGTGTAAATGGTTGGCGAAATAGAAATTAGGAAAGATAGCAAAAAGACAAAATTTACTAAGAGCTATAAAGGACAGGAAATTGTGGAGAGCCTTGATCACCAAAGTCCTAAAGGACCATAGCATAAAGAAAAAGTTTGAGTAAATGGTTGACAAAACATGGATTTAGAGAGATGTCAAAATGACAAAATTTGCTAAGAGCTACAATGTACAGGAAATTGTGGAGAGCCTTGATCCCCAACGTCCTGAAGAGCCACAGCATAAAGAAGAAGGCCACAGCTTAAAGAAGAAGTTTGTGTAAATGCTTGACAGAACAGGGATTTAGGGAAGATGTGAAATTGACAAAACTTGCTAAGAGCTACAATTGACAGGAAATTGTGGAGAGCCATGATCGCCAACGTCCTGAATGGACACGGCACCTATAAGATTAGACCGAACCTTCAATTTTGCACTTAATCCATTGTGCCAACTTTACCCAGGATATAATTTTATATTCTTGCATCGTTTCTGATATCAATATGACTCTTTGTATTTTGCTCTGACAATGAAAGAGAGTTATTGGAATATTTTTAACAAGAGACCTGCGCTTCCGAGTGAAAGACGATATTTGAACTCCAGGCGAAATTGTCACTCCGATCATTTGAGGGGTTTTAAGGTGTATAGTCCGTTTGCACGTGATGAATATTTAAACGCTGATGGTGATGAGTACCGAAACGTGATAATCGAGGTATCAAATATCAGCATCCTTGGCATCCATAAGTAACAGTAGCACGTCTCAAATAAACTGTTCCACTCGTTAAAAAAAAAGGGGCGGGTTGGGGAATTTTTGGTGGGGAATAATTATTGAACATTCATTCAGTCGGTTAAGCGCCATACGTGATACACGGTTGGCCGATCATGTCTCTTTTGATTCATGACTTTGTATTTGTTGTACTTTAAATGTAATTGCGGCACAAGGCTGGACTTTCGATTCATGACTTCGTATAAATTGTACTTTAAATGTAATTGTGGCACAAGGCCGGACTTTCGATTCATGACTTCGTATAAATTGTACTTTAAATGTAATTGTGGCACAAGGCCGGACTTTCGATTCATGACTTCGTATAATTTGTACTTTAAATGTAATTGTGACACAAGACCGGTCTTTTGATTCATGACTTTGTATTTATTGTACTTGAAATGTAATTGCGGCACAAGGCCGGACTTTCGATTCATGACTGACTAGGCAGAAGAATTTCCCCGCATTATGTTGCCGTTTCTTTCTGCGGTAGACTGGTTGTTTGCGAAAGTTGTAGGACCCGGTCTGTTTAACCCATAGCTTGAGGGAGGAGAGATAGATTCATACCTTTCCCAAGGCTAATTGTGCGTAAGTGAATGCAACGAACTCGACTGGAATTTGAACTCAGATCTTCGGTTTCTCATCCCGCGACCTCGAAAAATATTGATTTTTTTTTTTTTATCATTTGTATAAGTGGGGGTGCTATTCTTGATATCAATACAATGTCAAATTGATCCCTGACTTTAACAGAATCAATTGATCTACACAAAAAAAAAGACAAGGACATCTTTAGGGGAATATTTTTTGCAGACAAGCAGTCATTAGACCTCCCTAAAACATACGGCCATATCACGTCGAAACATTAGTTCCCGTCGGATCACCGAAGTTAAGCAAGGTCGTGCTTGGTTGATACCTTTATGCGCCGTGCAAGGAACCCAGCTGCGCTCCAAGTTGACATAAAGCCTGGGTAGTAGTTAGATGGGCGACCACTTGGGTATACCAGGAGCTGTAAATAAAATCGGGGAGCCGAGTTCGAAGTGCAGTCGGTTTCGTTACATTCATTTACGTATTTACCTTTCGGCGATCATGAGACCTAATCGCCCAGGTATGTCCCATCCGACCCACCACCAACACGCATTGGACGTGAGCAATAGGGTCACGGTCCATTCCTCCCAATTAATCTGGGGAAAGCCTAAATCCAACAAAAAAAAGGACCTTCACACGGCTGAAAAAGAAGACCTTCCTGAAGCCACAATTTTTTTTTATCAGAATCGAATAATATTGATTTCTTATCGATTTAGAATTGGGTCCTGTTAATAATATAAATACAGCCATAAATCGATCCCAGACTTTTGCAGAGTTATTGAACTTAGCTGTTATTTACAAATGCCAAATTTGAATGAGTGCTATTATTAATGTCTTCATGTTTTGTGTTTTTTTTTTAATTTTCTGAATTTTTTAAAAGTTATTCTAATAGCGTATTTAAAAAAAACATTTTTTTTATATGGGATTTTGGGAAGTACATGAACACGCATTTGGGGTTAATAATTATTTATCTTAAAGGAAGTATATACGGAGAAATACTTTATTTAATTTTCGTAAATTTTGTTCTTCAATTAAAAATTTATGAAACCAATTATTCTTTATTTAAAACTAGCAGTAGATCCCGGCGTTGCCCGAGGATGTAACAGTAAGAGATAGATCAAGTATCGACCATCATAAAGACTGAAAAATAAAACTGACAAAGATTATTGTTTAAGATTGACGGACACGCATGTCTTAATTAGTTGTTTTTTTTTGTTTGTTTTTTTACGAATTGGTCAAACCCAAACCCAAACAAAAACATTGTTTTCAATCGTAATGAGTCTACCGATTGAATAGAATTTTATTATAAACAATTGTCTTGTAAATGGAATTTTTAAAGCATTCTGAATGTAAAAATAAAGAACAAAGTGTGCAAGACAATAAGAAACACTACCTGCCAAAAAAAAGTGAAGTTTTGTTGAAATCGGTTGAAAAATGTAGGAAATCCGATCCCATATATAAAGGAACACACACACACACACACACACACACACACACACACACACACACACAAACAACCTGGGCTTTATAATAAGTATAACTCGATATGAGTTGTCCCCCTTTCATTCTCGCGACAGCGATGCCTCTTAATCGTGTTTTCAAATTGATTTCGTGCAAAAACAATTGTGTTTTTCCAATTTTTGGCACTGTCAGAACCACTGCAAGGTAATTTTACGTAGTTCTGTGAAGTTTTGTTGAAATCGGTTGAAAAATGTAGGAAATCCGATCCAATATATAAACGAACACACACACACACACAATGTGCGTTTTATAATAAGTATGATAAATTAACCAAATCCCCTCCTTACGACAATTTCTCTTAATAAGAATTTTAAAATAATTCAGCAGGCGATGTTTTTTACTTACGGTAATTAGATTTTCGTAGATTGACTTACTTGGTTTCTGCTATTCGATACTGCGCAAAATGGCGAACTTATTTTGGTCACCGTCACTTCTCTGTCTTTTGGCTACTGAAGGTTCAAATAAATTTAACCCCAAGCCCCAGGGAGCCTACCACCCCCACCGCCCAAGACAGTACTTCCCCTTCAGGAAGGAACTGGATTTATTTCCCGGCGCCTGAAGCATCCCCAAAAGGGGAAGTGTCGAAGGGGGCTGGGGCAATTTTTCCACGGTATCTCCGTCAAACCTGCTTTAACATCGATCTTGTGTAGCGACGTGGGCCTTTTTGGCTAAGATCAAAGTGTATTATCTGTTTTTATCAGCTTTAATTCTCTTTCTCCCTACTTCCATCTTCCATTCTTTCTTTTTCTTTCAAAACCATGTAGTCTCTTTTTTCCCCTTTTCCCACGCGATCAGTACGGAATATCCATTATTTATGAGGTATTGGCAGGGCGTAATGATCGTGCGAACTAACAAAAGCAGAGACAAGCACAATTATTATAGAATATATTTGTAACCCCTAAACAAAACAGAAAAGGATGTTTCCGTGCGCAAAGCAGATGGGTCCAATAACTCTGTAAAAATTAGGAATCGGTTTGGCACTTTATCGATATTATAAAAGAATTCTACCAAATCAATAAAATATCAAAATTTTCCGATTCTGACAGACTAGCCACAAATGTACACGAATGACAAATGTAACCTAGTCTACATTACAAAACAGCACCATCTACCTTAAACTTTCTTTAAAAAAAACTATTATATACCGTACATATGAATATTAATGAGTACGTCGTAATCCTCATAAATACGTTGGACACTATTGTAAGTGGGGGGGGGTATTATGGTGTCTATGTAGTCCACCACTAGCAGTGGTTTACCTATTTCACGCCGCTGGCGAGTATTGTATTTTGTTGATGTTATAAAGATTAGCTTTTCATTTCCAACCTCCATTTTGGTTATTCCTCATCCAGTAACCTTTTCTAGGTTACAACAGAAACTTAATTCACAAACGAAGGATTTTCGGACATATGTTTATATGGACTTTTGTCCTTGTTTTGGTGTGAGGAACCCTCCCCAAAGTCTTTTAAACGTATTTTTGATACACCATATATATATATATATGTGTGTGTGTGTGTGTGTGTGTGTGTGTGTGTGTGTGTGTGTTTGTGTGCGTATACATATATATGGATATATATGCACATATATATGTAAATATGTACATGTATATATATATATGTGTGTGTATGTATATACATATATATATATATATATATATATATATATATATATATATATATATATATATATATATATATATATATAAACCTAAAGACACAGATTGACCCTGAGGATCCGTGTAGGTGAAACCTAGGTAGGTTTACCTGGCGCTTTAGGGTCATATTTCGGTTTGCTCTATTTAGTGTATTGAGAACTTTACGTAGTTACTTGCTTTACTCGTTTTGGAGTTTATTTTTTTCTTTGGACTCTGAGCTTGAATTCTGGACGATTGTTTTACCCTCAATTTCATGTTCTTAGTTCTTTCTTTTTTTATTCCTTATTTTCCCTTGGGCATTGGTTTGTTCAATTACAAGCCAAAATACCTAAGGCTTTTCCAAACGAGTATAAGAATCTATAATATTATATACATATATATATATATATATATATATATATATATATATATATATAATATTTATTTAAAAAGTATGTTATAACATCACTACAAAAATAGCCGTTTTGTTTCAACACATCTTTTGTCGTGTCAAGTGATGGTGTTGATTGCAAAATAAAAAAAAGTTTTAAAGAGTTCAAAACTAACCACTACCCAACTAGGGGGAATATTTTTACGTAAGATGTAATGGCCAATCAAATTACAAGTATATGATAATTCAAATAATGCGACAACGGACCCTTGATATAATTTATTAATATCTTTAAAATTTATTATTAGATTTTATAGGAAATCAGGATATCTACTTAATCTCGGATTTAATATGTAATCAAAAAATAAAAGATATGAATATTGAACTCTGAAAATAAACATGCATCAAGTTTAGAAACTTTCAAAATTATTCAAAATAAAAAAACAGAGAAAATATGCCTAAATTTTCATGTATTGTGCTTAGTAATATGTAAGAGGTGCAATATACGGTTACAAAATTAGTTACATTGACAGGGTTGCCATTAGAGATTTAGAGGACGAGGGAGAAAGGTATATATATATATATATATATATATATATATATAATCTTAAGTGGCATTTAAGACGCGCTAGTGATTTACAAAGGAGGCCACATATGGAGCAACAGTGAGGATTGTGAGATGAGATCACTGTTAGATTGGCTGACCTTTTAGATATTGCTCTCAACTCTTGAAGATGATTCAGACAAGCAGAATGAGAACTACTGAGTCCACTAAAACACGTTGATCTTCATTCTACCCGCTCCAAGGCTAAGCGCCCAAGGGTGTTATGTGGTATATTGACTGCTGACAAGTTGCTTTTCAGATTGTCTTTGTATCTTAGCCATGGGCGTCCTACATTCCTGTAGCCCTGATCTAACTGGCTGCACATTAGGATCTTGGGTATCCTGTCATCAGACATACTCAAGACATGACCAGTTCACCGTAACTGAGACTGTATGATAAAAGTCTCGATTCTTCCAATGTTACGCCTGTTGAACAGGTTCACGTTAGATCTTGAAGGTTAACTCCACAGAGTGCACGCAGACATATATATATATATGTTTGTATATAGGTAAAGTTCATAACATTATATGAATAATTTGTACACGTGTGTGTTAAGTGAATGCAATTACTTTTGCAATCACATTTTTCTATGGACAGCCCTTCACCCATAAAATCAATAACCGGATGTCCAATTCCTCTAATGTCTCATCTTTCCTTAGAAAATAATATTATGTCTGTCATGTGATTCTATAGGTACTGTGGAGGCGGTGGGGTCTCTTTCTTTTATACCCCCCCCCCGGAAAAACACCGGCCCACACCCGACATCCCAACGATCATTCTTTATTATTCTTTGTATTTATTGTAGTCTCCACCCACCCCGGCCACTTTTTTCTTGTGGATGTCACTAATGGCCTTGCTAAGCACTCATGCATAATTGTTTACAATAGGTCTTCAAACTTGCGATTTTTTTTTCTTTCTTTTTTTACTGCCATAGACGTAGATACATCAATAAGTTCGTATCCCAATGAAGAACACAACATTTATTACACAAAGTATCACATAATTTATTGGGACTGTTGTTCTCTTCATATCTTTTCTTTTATTCCCTTCATCCCAAGAGAGGCAATAAAGCCACTAAGACGCGTGCGGTTACTGAGTGCGAAAGAATGTGAGAACAAAAAAAAAATGAACAGAAATTAAGAAGACAGAAGATAACGATTGGCATTGCATTTAAACTTTTCAAGATCAAAGTTGACCATAAATCAAAGAAACGGAATAGGCTTTCAGAAGCGAAAAGTACGAGAAAAGAAACTGTTGTCATTTTTTTTTCTTTCTTT